TGGAGAGAACCACCCTACAACTAGAGAGAACAGTATCACGTGCTCACATATCCCTATTCCCACCAGCCAGACTGGAAAATTTCAATTCATGGATCACTGGAAAGAGTGCTCAGAAGGCTCAGGCCTCAGTACTGGGGCAAAATTAACCTTAAATACTGCCCTGGTCCTGCCTAACAAATCTTAAAGGTATGATCTAAAAGAATCAAACTGCTTCTAAGTAACCTGGCTGCATTCCAAAACAGAGCTCAATAATACTTATGGGAATAAAATAATCCAACACTCAATATGGAAAAATAAAAAATAATTGTCAGGAAAGCAAAGAAGCAAACAAAATATAGCCATGACGAGAAAAAAAATTCATCATTGAAAACCAAACCAGAACTGAGGCAGATGTTAGAGTTTATAGACAAGGATACTAAAACAGCTATTATAGCTGTATATTTTATGTTTAAAACGTTAAGTAAAGACATGGAAGATATAAATACAAATCAAACTTCTAGAAATGAAAAATATGTTTGAAGTGAAAAATACTGACTGGGATTAACACCACATTAAATATTGTAGAAGAAAAGATTAGTGAACCTGAAAATAGCAATAGAAACTATCCAAAATGAAATATATAAAATATTCTATGGAAAGCAAAATAATATCTCTTGAAGTTAGACTGTGATACGTTAAAGATATATATTATAAATCCCAAAGCAACACATATATGTGTCATAGTTAATAAATCAACAAAAGGAGAAAAATGAAATCATAAAAATAATTCAATTAATTAAAAAAAGGCAGAAAAAAGGAAAAAGGAACAGATAATAGAGTAAATAGAAAGTAGATAGCAAGATGATAAATTTAAACCTTAACATATCAATAATCATATTAAATATTATTTAGACACCCTCATTGAAATTGTCAAGATTGGGCAAAAAAGTACAATCCAATTTCTTCTTGTAAGAATGCACTGTACATATAAAAGAAACAAATAAGTTAAATATTAGAGGACAAAAGATCTGCCATGCTGTTGTGGACTGAAGTGTATCTCCCTAATACTCCTACATTGACTCTTTAATTCCAAAAGAGGCTTTTGGAGATTGGGCCTTTAAGGAGGTAACTGAGGTTAAATGAGGTCAATAAGGGTGGAGCCCTGATGCCAAAGGACTGCTGTCCACTGAGAAGAGAAAAAGATACCAGAAATCTCTCTGCAAGCACACAGAGGAAGGACCCTGTGAAGACACAACAAGAAGACGGCCATCTGTAAGCCAGGGAGAAAAGTCTCACCAGTCACAACTGTGCTGGTACATTTTCTTAACTTGCAAAAAAAAAAATAATAATAATAAGATGCCAGAATTAATCACAAGGAAGCTAAAGTGGCTATTTTAATCTCAAAGTAGATATCAGAGCAATGAACAGCACAAGAGACAGTTTATTTCATAATTTATGTGCCAACAACATGACTGTTTATTTAGAAGAACTGATAGCACCTACAAAAAAGCTAGAACTAATAAATGAGTTTAGTAAGGTTACAGAATACATGAGCAATATTCTCAAATCAACTTTATTTCTTACATACTATCTGCAAATATTTGTAAATAAAACCATGTAATAAGGATCAAAATTATGAAATACTTAGGGATAACTCTAAAAAATATATTCAAGCCTTATTGACTGAAAATTATAATACTGTTGAGAAAAATTAAAGAAGACCTAAATAAATAGGAGAGATATACTTTGTCAATGAGTCAGAAGACTCCATATTTTTTTAACATTTTATTTATTTATTTTTAGAGAGAAGGGAAGTCAAGGAAAAGAAAGAGAAGCATTGATGTGTAAGAAAAACATGGATCTGTTGCCTCTCATATGTGCCCCAGCCAGGGATCTGGCCCACAACCCAAGCATGTGCCTCAACCAACTGAACCATGCTGGTCAGGACAATAAAATGTGAAGATCTTAAAACAAAAGAGCATATATATCATATTTGTATAGTTGAAAGATTAATAATAAATTGAACACTTGTGTCCTTTCCACTTAGCTTAAGAAATAGAACATTACCAATATTTTTGATGGCACCTATGTACAACTCTCCACTGCCAAGTGAAGGAGTTACCAAAGTTTGAATTTCACTTATGCTTTTTTACCAGGTGTATATGTATCTCCAAATAATGTATTGCTTGATTTTACCCAGTTTCAACTTTTGTATAAATTCAATCACATGATATGTATGCTTCAATAACTCGTTGCAATGCCAGTTCTATTATCTATCAGATCTCCACATGTAAGTCTATTTCTGGATTATCTGGTCTGTTCTGTCTCTGGGTTAATGCCACAGTCTTTAACATCATTGCTTTATAATAAGTCTTAATGTTCATTAGGACAAGTCTCTACATCTGTTTCTTCAGGAGTATCTCGGCCATACTTGACAATTTGCTCTTCCATTTCTTTCCCTAGATTAACTTTTTTTTCTCTTTTTATATTTCTTTCTTTTTCTAATTATACTTTATTGATTATTCTATTATAGTTGTACCAATTTTTCCCCCTTTGCACCCTGCCACCTAGCACCCCCCAGTCCCTCAGGCAATACCCACACCATTGTTCATGTCCATAGGTCATATTGTAGGTTCTTTGGCTACTCCATTTCCTATGCTGTACTTTACATCCCCCTGGCTATTCTGTAACTACTTATTTGTACTTCTTAACACCTTACCTCTTTGCCCATTCCCCTACACCTCCTCCCATCTGGAAACCATCAAACACTCTCTGTATCCATGATTTTGTCTCTGTTCTTCTTGTTTGTTTAGTTTGTTTTTTAGATTCAATTGTTGACATGTATGTATTTATTACCATTTTATTGTTCATAGTTTTGATCTTTCTTCTTCTTTTTCTTAAATAAGTCCCTTTAGTGGTTCATATAATAATGGTTTGGTGATGATGAACACCTTTAGTTTTTTCTTGTCTGGGAACCTCTTTATCTGACCTTCAGTTCTAAATGATGGCTGTGCTGGGTAGAACAATCTTGACTATAGACCCCTGCTTTTCATGACTTTGACTATTTCTTGCCAATCCCTTCTAGCCTGCAAAGTTTCTTTTGAGAAATCAGTTAACAGTCTTATGGGAACTCCCCTGCAGGTAGCTGACTGCTTTTCTTTGGCTGCATTTAACATTCTCTTTTGTCTTTAATCTTTGGCATTTTAATTATGATGTGTCTTCAAGTGGGCCTCTTTGCATCCACCTTGTTTGGAATTCTCTGTGCTTCCTGGGCTTGTATGTCTATTTCCTTCACAAATTAGGGAAGTTTTCCTTCATTATTTCTTCAAATAGATTTTGAATTTCCTGCTCTTTCTCTTCTTCCAGTACTCCTATGATATAAATATTGAAATGCTTGAAACTGACCCAGAGGCTACTTACACTATTCTTATTTTTTGTATTCTTTTTCCTTCTTGTTGTTCTGATTAGTTGTTTTTTGGTTCCTTATGTTCCAAATCATTGATGTGATTCTCGGCTTTATCTACTCTACTGTTGTTTCCCTGTAAATTGTTCTTTATTTTAATTAGTGCATCCTTTGTTTCTGACTGGATCTTTTTATGCTGTTGAGCATAAAAGTTTCTTGAGCAATCTTATAACCAGTATTTTGTACTCTGCATCTGATAGGTTGATTATCTCCCTTTTGTTTAGTTCTTTTACTGGAGTTTTGATCTATTCTTTCCTTTGGGCCCTGTTTCTTTGTCTCCTCATTTTGGTAGCCTCCCTGCATTTGTTTCCATGTATTAGATAGAGCTGCTATGACTCCCTCTCTTGGTAGCATGGCCAAATGCAATAGGTATCCTGTAGGGTCCAGTGGCACAGCCTCCACTACTACCCAAGTTGGGTACTTGAGGTGCATCCTTTGTATGGGCTGAGTACACCCTCCTCTTGTACTTGAGACTTGATGGCTGTTGGCAGGTCAATGGGAGGGATTTACCCAGGCCATTCAGCTTCAGTGAATGACTGTGACCACTGACCACCAACTTCCACCCTCTGTGGAAGATTGGCTGTTTGGGGCAGCATGGTGGTGCTCTGACATGGTCTATAGGTGCTCACTGAGTGTCGGAGTCTGGGGTTTTCCGAGTGGTGCCAACCAAGGTCAGTCCCCACTTGTTTTTTTAACCTGGGCCACCCTATCTGAGCTAAAAAGCAATCTGCAGATGGCTACTACTTGTGCTAGGCTTGGAAATTCCCAGGAAAAGCCAAGTTGAATGTAGGTTGGCTGTGGCTAGTGCCAGGCCTGTGGCTACTTAGCAAGACATACAAGGGCTAGGGGCTCACTGAGGCTGGCTGTTGCTTGTTTGAAAGGATTTGAGAGGTTGTGAAGTATGAGCCAAGACCAGCCATTCATATGGAAAAGCTATGGTTAACAATTTGGGTGGTCCCATAAGTTGGATGGGAGGAAGTCTCTGAGGATCTCCAGGGTGAGGCAAACAATTTTAGCCAGGTTGATGGAGTCTCAGGTATGGCAATAGCCTGCCAGCTCTGTGGCTTAGCCTGATGGATGTGTTTTTTTAAATTCCATAGTTGTCAGACCTCCATTCAACTCAATTTCTGACAGTTCTGAGTGATACTTGTTCTATATTTTAGTTGTGATTTTGATGTGGTTGTGCGAGGATGTGAACTGTGTTTACCTGTGCTGCCATCTTGACCGGAAGTGACTCCATATTTTTAAGATGTCACTTCTTTCAGAACTGATCTACTGATTCAAGGCAATGCCAACCAAAATTCCAGGGAGAGTTTATGTAGAAATTGACAAACTGGTTCTAAATTTACATGAAAATGCAAAAGACCTATAATAGCAAAGGCAAATTTGAAAAAGGAAAACAAAGTTGAATGACTAATACTACTGTTTTCAAGTGATGGCATGAATTGTATCCCTCAAAAAATCCCTATGTTGAAACTTTAGCCTCCAATGTAATGGTATTTGGAGTTAGGACTTTGGGAGGTAATACATTTAGATGATATCCTGAGGGTACAAACCAGGAAGAAACCTTTCACCAGAACTTGAATGTGCTGGCACCTTGATCTCAAACTTTCAGTCTTCAGATCTGTAAGAAAACAAATTTCTGTCATCCAAGCCAGCCAGTCTATAGCATTTTGTAATGGCAGCCCAAATAGACTAATACATCAAAACTTTTTATAAGACTAATTAAGATAGTGTCCCACAAGAACAAAGATAAATAGATCAATAGAACAGAAAAGAGTCCCTCAAAAGATCCCCACATATTTGGATGACTGACATTTGATAAAAGCAGACAGGTAATTTAGTGAAGTAAAGATGGCCTTTTCAATTAATTGTGCAGAAACAATTATACACATATGCAAAAAAATTAATTTATTTCCATACATCTTATCATATTCATAAGGACTAACTAAAAATTGATCATAGACCTAAGTGTAAAACCTAAACTACAAAACACAGCAGTCTTAATAACTATAGGTTATGCAAAAATATGTAAACATAACACTGAAAGAATAATATAGGGAAAAAAGATAAAAATTGAGCTTCATCAAAATTCAAAATGCCTGTTTTTCAGAAGACACTATAAGAGAATACAAAGAACAGCACAGACTAGGAGAAAATACTTGCAAATCATATATTTGAGAAAGACTTTGTAGCCAAAATACATATATAAAGAATTCTCAAATTTCAATAATAAGGAAATAACCAATTTTTAAAAGATCCAAAACATTTGAACACTTTTCCAATGAATATTTACAGACAACAAATAAAAAGTGAAAAGACGCTCAATATCAATAGTCACCAGGGAAATGCAAATTAAAACCCCAATAATCATGGCACATCTATTAGAATGTCTTTTAAAAGACTGAATGCTAAGACAAGGATGCGGAGGAGCTGGGACTCTCATACCCTACTGGTGGGAATGTAGAATACCTTGAAAAAACAGTTTGTCAGTTTCTTAAAAATTTAAACATGTGCCTGTCATATGGTTCAACCATTCTACTTCTACATACTTATCCAAGAGAAATGAAACCCTATGTCCATACAAAGGCTTGTACAGAAATGTTTACATAACTCTATCTACAATTGTCAAAAATTAGGGGGAAAACCAACTCATTTCCATCAACAGGTGAGTTTCTTCATTGTGGTTTATTAACACAAGGAATGGAATATTGATGCACAGTATAAATATTGATGAATCTCAATATATTTATGCTTATGAAAGAAGTCAGACAAGAGGGTACATACTCTATCATTTAATCTATATAAAATTTTAAATACTTCAAACTAAATCATTCTCACAGAAACCAGAACGGTGGTTGCCTTCACCTCTCTTCCTCTCTCTACAATTCCCCATTCCAGCATGCTATTGTTTTTACATTTATTCTGTAACTACAATTACTTTTTGATATACTGTCTGTAAGTTTATTTTTAAACTACAAGCTAAAATACAGTATTCACAATAATATTCATATCAAAATATTATTCACAGCAGAGGCAAGTAGTACCACTGAGCCAATAAGGGAGATGTAACTCGTCAATAAACTTTTGCTATTGGAAGTAGCAAAAAATTGTAAAGTTAGGACAGCACCATGTCATAATGACTTAAGAAACTTTGCCTTGTCACAAGATCTTCCAGCTTCTTAATCATTCTTTTTGTTAGAAGAAATCCATGTTCTCCCAAAAGAGATTCTTCACAGGGCCTTTGATTTCCAGTTCTCATTTGGACTGATGGCTTTCTAGGCCTGCCTCAAAGTTCTCATCCTGGAATTACTTTTTACTACAGTCCTGGGTTAGATCCAATGTTCTTTGGAGGCTATGACTTCCTCTGACTTGGATTCTTTTTTGTTTTGCTTGAGTAATTCTTTCAAAAATGGTCTGTGGGTGGTAAATGGTCTGAGTTCTTACACATTTGAAAATGCCTCACTCTTGATTAATGATAGCTTGGCTAGGTAGAGAATGTTAGGTTCAAAAACACCTTTCCTTCAACATTTTGCAAGCATGCTTCTGAATGTGTGTCATCATTGTTGTTGTTGTTGTGTTCTAGTATCTAGAGTTGCTGATGATGTATCTAATGACATGGATTCTCAGTTCTTTTTGAGTGACCTGTTATTCTTACAGGTTTTAGAATCTTCCCTCTATTTGCAGTGTCTAAAATATCACAACATAACACAAGTCTTGGGTAAGTTTGTTTATTCATCCTCTTCTACATCCTCTAAGCCCTTAGAATCTGAAGGCCTATTTCTTCACATTCAGAAATTCTCTTCGCTTCTTATCTGTTTTGCCTGTTTTCTCATTCTAAATATCATTTTAGATGTTAGGACTTTCAGACTGTTGCCTAATCTTTTAATTGCATCCCCCATCCCTATTTTCTACCCCTTTAGCTTTTTGCTCTATGATCAAAGAGACTTCCTCCATTTTTAACTTGGTGATTATTTTTTCAAGTTAAGAGCACATTTCAGTGTTAATTGTTCTTTCCTTAGCAACCTATTTTTGCTTTATAAATGCTTTTTCTTGACATTTTCTTTGATGAGGAAACAACATAGAAAACTTTAAAATTTATATTAAATTCCCTGAATTATCTATCCTGCAGGGCCAGTTTATATATTTCCACCCACATTTTTGTTCTTATTTTTTTCTCAGATTTTTATAATCCTTGGCAACCAATTCATATTTGTAGCTGAAGCAGACCAGCTTGCTTAATACAGATAGTTCACTTTGCTTAGATCTCACCTTCTGTCCACCTGGGTGGGCCTTCTGACTGGCAGGCTTTGCTTTAGACTTTGAGGGAAAGAGGAAGAAGTAGGATGTCCCACTCCCACTTCTACCACTTCCCAGCCAAAATAAGGAAAATTTTTATTAAGAGTAGGCATCACTCCTACATGGGCTTCCTTCTCATGCAGACTATTCTCAATTATTGTAAAGATCAGTCCTCTGGTTTCAGCCTGAGCATGTGACACAGGGAAGGGGAATGTGGGTTATGACTCACAGTTATTCCACAGATGGTTGCTTTCCAACTTCCCTCTCACACTCCAAGTTCTGAGCCTCTCTGTGGGTCTGCTGCCAGGAAAAATAGCTCCAGCCCTACTGCAGCCTTCTCCTGTGAATGGGATTTAATCTGTTAATACAATTCCAAGTATTTTTTACTCTCGAGAAATTTGTCTGTATCTTTAGTTCCCTGACCCCCTTCCCTTGCACACAGTACTGTTATTAATTTATTATTTTCTGTTTCTCTTTTTTGATATTTCTATGGAATTTGGAACAGAAAGGAGATGTATATATGTGCTGACTGCCATCTTGAACAAGAATTCCTATTGTGTCTTCGGATATCTTCTTGGGTTTTGTTGCTGTTTTTATTTTGAGGCAAAAGACTCCTTGTAGCTTCCACTTAGGGCCCAGTGGGCCACACAAACAAAGCTTAACATCTCTTCTACTTACCAGATCTCCAAATATTTGAAACTAGTTTTATATCCTCCTAGCCTCTCCAGATCAAACATTTCTAGTTCTTTTAACTATGTCTCATTAAATGTGTAGTCTTCCTATTATTCTGATCATTTTCTTCTGAAATTCCTCCATCGCTCTAAAGGAATTCAATACCATGCTTAGGTACAAACGCTAGGAGCTATTTCATAGTAATATAGTCTTCCATACCACATCACACATCCACATCATCCAGTTATTCTTACTTCCCTGCCCTAGACACATAAAATGAATGTCATTCCCGCTGCTGGGAAGACTCTGTATAATGGTGATATATTTAAAAGCCATAAAATTATGGAGAGATAGCAAGAAGAATTACCATCCAAGAATTTCCAGGCTCTCTAGCACAGCTTTATCACTTCAATAAAGGTCATTTTAAAGCTCTCAATTTTAGTAATTTTATAAAAAGTGGTACTATATGCTAAATTATTCCTAAATTCATTGAATCATGCAATTAAACATACACACACAAGGATTTCCAAGTATGTTTTTCCCAAGTATTTGAAACGGAACTTTAAAACTCCAACACATTTTACATTTCTCATTAGCAAAAACTTCTATAAAATCACTGCTAAGTAAAATATGTATAACACTTAAAAATAAATAGAAGGAAAACAAAGGCAAGCATCATACCAATCTAAAACATTACAGCCATGGTGACATCCCTTTATAGCAGACAAAGTTTTAAAATTTAAATAAAAGTTCATGTCTGAAAATTACATGGGATAGTTCTCAGCTAACAGAAAGATTTTTCTGATATATGCACCTTCCTTGGAATATCCCCTAGCCCCAGTTCCTTGAAGAGCATATTTAAAAATTATAAAAGAGAAAGCATTTCTGAGTATATTAGTATATAGGGAAAAATTTATAAAGCAGATATATTAAAAGACCAAAACATTTTACAGGAATTTTATAGAAGTTTTCAAAATCAACCTATCTCTTTGTCTGTTTCTTAAAAATAATTATTTAAGAAACTGCTATGTGTGAGGCACTAGCAATTCAATAATACACTAGAAAGATCTCCAGTCTCTATTTTCATGGAGCTTGAGTGAAAAACATTCAAATCTGTTAAAGCACATTGTTTCTCTAACTTTGGTTAAAGGAAATAGATTCAGATGCACATGAAATGACACCGCCAGCCTCTAGGAAGCAAGCAGCCTGGCATCTTTCCCTCCTCTGGGCCGAGTGGACTATGTCAGTAACATTTGTGGAATGTTGACTATGAGGAACCAGGGCTAAAAAGTTGGCTGGAAGTTAAACCATCTCAGAAAAAATTAATTTGTTAGCCTAGCCGTCCTCCCTCAGCTCTGTGGGAATTTAGAGAGAAGGCATTTCAGTTTGTACAGGTGTGTGCCAGCACCTGCCACACTGGCCTTTGGGATCTTCTGCCTTTACAACTGGATCTCCTATCAGCCTCATGGAACAGGTGCTGTACTCTTACCAGGAGAACAGCTATTTTTAGTTCTCTATGCACACCATGCTCTTTCACACCTCCTTTCATTGCCTGAAATGTCCTTGCTCTCCTCATTCACCTGGAGTCCTCCTACTTAGATTTCAAGGCTCAGCTCAAACACTGCTTCCTCTGGGAAGTCTCCACGGCCCTCCAGAATGGTTAGTTAGCTCAGTGGAGTTGTAGCAACAACTGTGAGAAAAGACAGACCAGGAAATGGATCTCAGTTCTAGCTTTCACCAGATGTGGAGTTATGTAAACTTTCTGAACCTTAAGTTTTTCCCATTTAAAAATACAGATGCTTGCCTTCCAGGGCTGTTTTGAGGATTAAATACAGCAGTGAAGGAACAGTCCCTAAACAGAGAACTTGGCACACAAACAGCATTTAATAAATACTGCTTTCTGTCCCCTCCTCTCTAGTCACACCTTGGAATGGCATAAACTTAAAATCTCATGCTTACATTAAGCATGGTCCTTATTTTGAAAATCAATGGGATCTCAATAATATCATGTGTCAACTTAAAATTAGTATTATAAATCAAAGCTTATTACGGATTTTTCTGGTTACTTACAAAGGTCCTTTGTATGATGAATGATTATATAATAATTAGAATGATCTTTTACTTGAAGTGCATGCATGTCATACTTTCAAAGATCCTGATCAAAAGCCTCAGCACTGTGTGTTACACATGTATAAATTTTAAATAGAGGTCAATGCTATATTCTTAGCAATCACATCCACTCTTGAACCTATCTCACAAACTCAGAGCTAGACCAAGAACACAGGACATCGATAACAAAGGTTTCCAAAAAAAACAACATTATGAGAACAATAATTATTTTATTTAAGAACTTATATTTCTTTCAAGTTTTTCACCCATGCCTTAAACATACTACAAACATTCATTAACCCCTCCTGACACCCTCTGTGGCAGGTTGGTGGTGCTAGGATGACTCAGTTGTCCCAGTTTCCAGGACTGTGTGCAGAAGTCCTTCAACATCAGTGTAGTACCGTGACGCTGGCTGTGTTTCTGATAGGAGGAAGTAGATGAGAAATATGAGGTACTCATAAACAGTCCAGAAAGTTTCATATTTTGGTCTAGTTTTCACTGTTTTGAGAAATTTTGGAACTGCTCATGCCTTACTCAATCAACTATTTGTAAACATTGTGGTTAAAAGCATAGAATCTGGAGTGTGAAACCTGGGTACAAATTCCAGCTCTGCCACTTACTAGCTCTGAGGCCTTGGGTGAGTCATTTCCTCTGTCTGTGCTTTAACTTCCCCATCTGTAAAATGGGGACAATGAGTAGTGACCATAGAGTTGCTATAGGGAGCAGTGCCTCACGCATAATTATTGTTCCTCATTATTGGTAACTGTTAGTGTTAACTTTTATTCCTATGCTGGACACTGAGACACAGTGGTGAACAGGGCACTCAATAAATATTTAGTGGATGAATATGCAAAACCATAATAGAGTGAAGCTATAAATATAATTTCAGATACCCAGGTGGTTTCCATGAATGGCTGATGTCAGAAAATAAAAACTTAAACATTCGCATGATTAAGTCTCAGCAACATGCTCATTTGCCCAAGAGCAGAAATAGCTCATGAAATAGAAATGAAATTATACACCTGATGTCACAAAAGACAGGCAAATGAGAATAAGCCTGCAGCTCTGTGCACAAGTGTTTCTTTTTTAAGTTGGCTATAATATGAATATTTTTAAATAAGCCTATAAACCTTGTTTAATTGCTAGCCAAAACACTGACTCTCCAATGAGGTCATGTTTGGAAATATATGTACCACCATTTAAACAAGTCAAAACCATAAGAAAATCTTAATTACTTGAGCCAAAGTTGGTCTCAATATTGAAATGTGAGATGTAAAAATTAGGAGATGGCATATTCTCAATTGGATCTTTGTTTTATGCTATCCTTTATATATGAGTACTGAGTGGAGGCATTTCAGGATATCATTATTAAATCTGTTTGCAGCGTGAACCAGTTCTAACCACTGCTGAAATTTCTAGTGCTGCTTAAAATGTTCAACAGAGCAGAACTACAATATTTACATCTGCCTACAAGCACATAGTCATTTTAAGTCTCAATTTTAAATACTGATATTTTCTTTCAAAATTCTTCAAAATGTATGTCCTGTGAAAAGGGGAATCTAAGAAGCATGATCTAAAGCTGCAGGGGAGATTGAGCTATTAATGAAGGTGCTGAAGGAGTGAATGCAAGCAGTTGACACAAATCAAAATGGAACAGAGGGCCAAAACCAGGGGGGCAGGGGGAAGAAAATTACCACCTTCCCACTGAGAGGGGCATGTGGGTTTACATGACTAAGTACTTTCTTTTCTTATTTTCCAAGAGATGATCAAACAATAGGAACTGTGAGTACTGAGAAAGTTGGCCTTTTTGGGAATCAGCGTAGATATAAGGGTCGGTTTCTTTGACAACTGATAAAAATGACAAAAGAGAATAGAAAACCAGAAAGAATGGTGAAGCCATTCTTCAAAATACAGTAATGGGAAGCCACCTTCATTGCTGGGCATCCTGAAACCACAAATAATCCCCAAAAATCTCTCTCTCACACACACGCACACTGAAAAGTAATGATTGATAAAGGAGAGAATTAATTATTATTTAAAAACTCCTTTTCAGGCAGGCATTATGTCTCCTAAAATTTTGCTCCATTTAAATAGTGAATTACATTTAAATACAGAGTCCTTAAATATTTTGACCTATTATGAGTCTTAGTTTGGGCCAAGCAAACAAAATAAAGTGGAAGTTAGATACTCTTTGGTTTCATTTACCTAGTGTTCTCCTAGCAGCCGCTTATTGGGGGTATAGACGGAACACGTTTTGTCATCTTATGCTGCTCTACAGTTTTTCTTTTAGGAGATAATGAATTCCAAATATATGTGTATATCCAAAATATAATTTTAAAAGTACACAGATATTATGCCTTAACATGCTTATATTGATCTTTTCTTGGTATTATAACAAATTACCATGAACTCCATGGCTTAAAACAACAGGAATTTATTATCTTATAGTTCGGTAGGTTGAACATTTGACACAGGCCTCACTGGGGCTAAAGTCAAAGTGCTGGCAGGGCTGTGTTACTTGTTGGAGGTTCTAGAAGAGAATGCATTTCTCTGCCTTTTCCAGTTTCTAGAGGCTGCCTGCATTGCTTGGCTCCTGGATCCCTTCCTCCGACTTCAAAGCCAGCCACCCTTGTATCTCTCTAAACCAATGCACAATGATTATAGTATCTCACTCCGACTCTCTATTTTTGCCTCCCTCTCTGGTGTTTGAGGACCCCTGAGGTTACACGCAGAGTGTCTGGATAATCCACAATAATCTCTCCATCTCAAAATCAGTTAACAGGCTTCATTCCAACTGCAAATTTAATCCTCTTTTGTCATGGGTATTAGTTTGCTAGAGCTGCCATAACAAACTACTACAGTCTGGGTGGCTTAAACAACAGAAATTCATTTTCTCACAGTTCTGGACGTTCAAGGCTGGAAGTCCAAGCTCAAGTTACCAGCCGGGTTAGTGTCTGGTGATACCTCTCTCCTTGGTTTGCAAACAGCTGTCTTCCCGCTGGGTCCTCACGTGGCCTTCCCTCCCAGTGAGCAGAGAGAGACAACTCTGGTATCACTTCCTTTTCTTGTAAGGACAACAGCCTTATGGGATTAGGACTCCTCCTTATGACCTCATTTAATCTTCATTACTTCCTTCAATGCCTGTCTCCAAATTCAGTCACATTAGGGTTTACTAGAGGAAAGTGTTTCTGCACTTACAACACTTCTCACACCAAAAGTTGGGGGTTTTCCTCACCAGCAATCAATCCTTGCACTTTCCAGATACCAACTAGCTGTCCTACAATTTAATTTAATTCTGATCACATAGGTTAAGGGCTGAGTCCCACAAGACTGCTCCCATTTCTGACACCTGTCATAAGTCCCAGGTTGTCATCTGTACTTGTGACTAACCAGCTATAAATCAAATGTTCCCACAGTGCCCCTCCTCCAATTCAATAATTAGTTATAAAGGCTTACGGAACTCAGGGAAACTCTTTACTTAAATTTATCAGTTTATTATAAAGAATATGGTAAAGAACACAAATGGACACCAGGTGAAGAGATCCAGAGGGTAAGGTCCAGAAGGGTCCTGAGCACAGAAGCTTCTGTTCCTATAGAGTAAAGGCACTCCAAGCATCCTATACGTGGATGTACATACTGCCCCAGAAGCACTCTGAACCCTGTAGTTTAGGGATTTTAATGGAGGCTTCATCATGTAGGCATGATTGATTGCTAACTTAATCTCCAGCCCCTCTCTCCTCCCCTGAGGTCAAAGGGATAAAACCTGAAAGTTCATGTCTTGGTCTTCCCATGGACCAGCCTCTATCATGACACTCAGTCAGGGGCCCTCAGTCACCATCCACTTCATCAGCATACAAGACATTTGTATAAAAGACATAGTGATAAAAGACATTTTTATCACTATGGGGATTCCACAGGTCTTAGAAGCTCTTGTGTCAGGAACTGGGGACTAAGACCAAATATTACAACAACAGATGTTACTGTCACCCCTATCACTCAGGAAATTACAGCAGCTTTAGGAGCTCTGTGCCAGGAACCAGGGACAAGTACCAAGCATATATTTCTTATTATATCATAAGGCCACAAGCTTCAACATTTGAATTATAGGGGGAACACAATTCAGCCCACACATCGTGTGACCTATCAGTCTCAGGCTCTGGGAATTAGGACATGGACATCTTTGGTAGAGCCATTCTTTTGCCTGCCACGGTGCTTTACTTTGTACTGCAGACTCACCACAGTATATGCATGCTCATGAGGTCAAATGAGGGAACAACGTGAGCCTGACTGATCACACATCAGGCCTGGGGTTGGAAAGACTGCCTAGGACAGTGACTCTCTGGCATTTTTTTTTTCCCCAAAGTGGTTGTAATTGATGCTTGGACCACTTCCAAACAGAGAACCAGCCTTCCTGCCTCGCTGGCACTGATTCAGGGGAAGATCAATGTGAGTACTTACTCAGAGTAAAAGGTGGAAGTGTCAGTGGTGTCGGGCTCTCCAAACCTCGGGGCTGTAGCAGCTGCACACTGTGGTGACTCACAGGTGCCCAGAGGTTAATCTGAACACTGTTAAATGGTGTGCACTGAGCAGATCCTGGCAAAGGACCCATAGACTGGGTTTTAAAATCCACATTTTAAGATAGCATAATGCATTAGAGAGACAAGAAATAAGCACAGCACTAGATGTTATAAAGTATGCCTCTGAAAAGTGCAGAGAGAATCTGATTCCCAGAGCAGGCAAAAGCTCACATCTTTATATTCTCCTTTTATCATTCATGAAGGTCACTGGGTTAATCAGCCCCATTATTCATCATTTGTGTGTCAGGATACACAGGGATGTGACCATCTTGATAAAAGGTCTTACTGTTCTCAAGAGGAAATAATTAGTCCAGGGAGTAGGAGATTTGCAGATTCCACCCCTAAAAGGAGACAGCAAGTATCTGCAGAAGGAAAACAACTGTAGCTTCCCCCTACCTCATTATCTCTACTCACCACCTCGTACTGCTGGCCAGAAGCTTGTTAATGAATTTTTTACCCAGAATTAGCTACCATTCTGATAACACCCAAAAGATCAAGCAATGAAAGTATAAGAGAAAGAAGGTTAAGATGACAAGGAAATAACTTTCTTGACCTTCTCCCATCCCATTGAACATACGTACTCACATACACACGTGATAAAGAACACATTAGTAACCCATGCTGATATGAAGATCATTTATGCTTTCCATATGATGATAGTTCCTAAAGACAAAAAAAAATCACCTGTATGTTAACTCATACCTAGTCTCAGTCACGTCCTGGACACAACATCCTTGTGTCAAGACAAGAGTTGAAGCAATGCACACTGGAATACAGAAAAAAGTCTGTGCAACCACTTAACCACCCCTTCTTATGCCCATGGCGAGCACTGCTGATCAGTCACAGCATTATTTCCTATTGAACCAGAGGGCTCAGGTAGCCCTGAGACAGGGCTCCAGGTAGCCCCTCTAAAGCTTTCAGGGCTGGCAGTAGAAATGATGCCTATTTGTCTTCCTGACATATAACATTTCTCCCTCTCTACCAGCTTCTTCCTCACCTCCTTCAAACACAGATAGGCTGTACTGTCAACCACAAATATTTGTGGAGTACCTACTGTATGCCAAGCACTCTTTACTGCCCACGTGGAACACAAAGACTAATAATCACACAGGAAACCTCCCCTGGAGGACTTCAGCGAGTCTGAGGAAGGCTGAGTGAGGTGGCAGAGAGGAAGGGTGAATAAGCACTGACTCCCTGAGACCTAGGACAGTGGGAATTAGCCAGGACAAGAAGAGGAAGAAAACCACAGGCTAGATGGTGGAAACTGGAAGCGAGAAAGAGCACAGCGAGCTGCAGGAGCAAACATGGTTCGGCAATGGGTCAGTGAGACAAGGAGTAGATTTCCTCCCCAGTATGAAAGTGCTCTACTCATTTGGTCCCCAGGGGTCTTCTTTTCGTTTTTTCTTCTTCCCTTCCAAATACTTTTCTTCTTAATAATGTATTGGGTACTAAAAAAAGTTATTAAAATGTGAATGCTCAGTGTGAAAGTTGATGAAAAATAGACAGAGAATTAAAATCAAAATCAGCTCCCTGTTAACACACTGGTCTGTTTTCTTCCGATAGTTTTTTCTATGCTACCTCTCTGCCTTGGCCTCCTTTGGAGGGAGGGCATTCAGTTTTGTTGTCTATTTTGTTGGGGGAGGGGCACTCTTTTTGCTTAACATTTACTGTGCACATTTTGTTCATCAAAACATAAATTTATCACAATGTATTAAGCAATCTTCTATAGGTGGCTACAAGTTTTTTTCTAAGTTTGTGCTACTCAATATGGTTATTATCCTCATCCATAAATCTTTGTTCACATCATGGGTGTTCTGGGAGAGATTCCTGGAAGAAGAATTGTCAGATAATAAAATAAAATGAGCATTTCTAAAGCCCTTAGCCAGACTGCCAGGTTGCCCTTCAGAAAGGGTTTCTGCTCATTACACCCCAGCAGCAGCTGACGAGTGTTTTGTGCCACCTCACACCCCTGCTGTAGCAGAAAGCTTTTATTCATTGTCCATGTATGAGCTAAGATAAACTCATTATTGAATTTGCATTACTTTGATTCACAATTTTAAACGGTTTTGGGGGGTCCATTTATGTTTCTCATACAAATTTTAAACATGCCATTTGTTCCTTTATTCCACTGCTTTATTAATGTTTTTCTTACTGACTTAAAAGTCCTTAATAGGTTCATTGATCCTGTGGATCTTGAGATGTTGGACACCAATAGTCCTCTCAAACTTGTCAGTTAAAAACATTGAAGGCTTGTTTGTCATTTTTATATAGTCACATTTAAAAAACACACACACATTTTTTCCACCGGTGCCACTTTAGTTACAAAAGTCGCCACACAAACGGTATCCGGAGCCCTGCGAGGTCTCAGCCCCACCGCACCTCTCTCCCCAGAGGGAACCCCGGGCGGGAGACCACTGTTACTCCTCCCACACAGTTATCGCCGCCTAGCTTCCCTCGGGCGGTCAGGCCTCCTCCGCCTCGGGGTCTCACCAGTGCTGCTCGGCTCCCCGCCAGTGCTTCTCCACAGGAAACCAGAATGACTTTTTAAAAAATCTTCTCTAAACGCCTCAAGGGCTTCCTGGTGTAATCAGAACAAATTCCCAGCTCCTCCACTTCTCCGGCCGCCTGGCTTCCCGCTCCCCTGCCCTCCCCTCCGCTCCGCTCCGCTCCTCCGGCGCCCTCGGGCCCTCGGCCCCCCCGCCCCCCCCGCTCCCGGCCCACCACACCCCAGCCAGCGGCCTTCCGAGGTCGCGTCCTGGAGCCCGGCTCCGAGCGCTGCTCCCGGGGCTGCGGCGGTGCCGCGCTCTGCCCCCAGGCGCCACAGGCGTGCCGCCACCCCGGGGTGGGGGTGGGGGGGCGCTGCGCTCACCGCCCAGTCCAGTACTCTTTCTCTGAAGAACTGGCTGCTTCTCCCTCGTGGCACTTCTCAGAACTCACAGCTAACATTTTTGTGATTATCTGTGGAAGATCTCCCTCCCCAGTGAAAGGTCATCTCCAGACACCACACCCATTTTGTTTGCAGCCCAAGCCCAGGGAGGAAGACGGACGGAGGGAAGCGGGGGAAAGGGCTCCACCGCTTTCTTCAACTCAGTTCCACTCAGCTTCTGGCTGGCAGCGATTCCTCCCAGACCCCAACAGAAAGGTGCCAGTGTCCGCTTTCGGCCGACTTGAGGTGAAGGAGATGCTTGGTCTAGGACGCGGCGTCCGGTCTGAGCCGAGTCCCCCAGGACGTGACAGAGACTGGGGGTCGACGGCGCACGTGCGCAGAGACTGCCTGTGAGTTGAGAAGCCGGCGCCTCTGGGGAGGCCGCAAGCCAACAACAAGGCTGCACCTTTCCGAAGGACGTGTCCTCCACGCCGCCGAAAGCCCAGCCTCTCTGCCACCCCTGGCATTGTGCCAAAAATCGTGTACCTAGGAGCCCAGTTCATGTCGGTCGACCAGATGAATGAACGACATACAGCACTCCTCCGTGACAGCAACTCTCTTCTCCTTGGGATGCCTTCCTTGCCCGCCTAACCTCCAGCGAGAGCTGCTTAGAGACCCACTTCCCTGAAGCTTTTCTTATCCGACGGCAGCACAAACGACCTTTACTGACACGGAATTTTCCCTTTGACTGTTCTCAGACTGTTTGTTTTCTGTCTCATCTTATCTTTCCAATTAAACTTCTAGTCCTCGAAAGCAGGACTCCTCCTTCCCTTTCTCTTCCTTTCGCTTATTTAGTTTTGGTACTCCAAATATCCTGTAGAGTAGGTATTTAATTTCTATGAAAAGGGGAGGAAATCTATCTAAGAAGATAGCTCACTTAGGGGAGAACTTGGTTTCACTGACCTCTACAATCCCACTCCTCCATCCTTTTTAAAAAATAATCTCTTTTAAATCTAAAATGTCCTGGAAACGATTTAATCGAATTAATAAGATTTTACTCCAAGGCTTCACATTTCAGCAAAAGATAAATAAATAGTTTACTAGGACTTCAGAAGAGTACACAAAGGCACTAATTCTCACCACTTTCTTTTCTCCAATGGATCAGATACTCTGACTCCCTTAGGTGTGATGTAGCAAATCAGACACTGAAATCACGCCAGCTACTTTTCATACACAAACAAACACTGTCGTTTCTATCTTAGTATTTCTGGATCTTAAAGAACCTTCAAATCTATCCTCTTCTTTCAATCTCCACCCCTGCTTTCTGGTCTAATCTGCTGTCTCTTGCAAACACTCCCAGTTTGTTGGTCTTCCTTAATCTACTCTTACCCTTCTTAGCACATTCTACTAAAGACAGCCAGGGTCTGAGCTACTCATGGCATTTTCCTCCTTAAAATCCCTTGGCTGCTGCCCTTGCACATTAATGAAGAAGCTTGGCACTGTCTGGGGCCAACCATGTTGCATTTCACCCCAACCTCTCTTTCTTGTGGTTCCTATGGGCTCTGGCCACAGGACCTTCCTTTCATTGCTCACACATACCTTGCTTCCTCTAGCTCCAGGGCTTCTGTTCATGCTCCCTTCCTTAGCCCCAAAGCTACTTATTTCCTAGGGAAGCCATTCCTGAGCCATACAAGACAACACAACCTCCCCCCTCCATTATATACACACACACTCAGCACCACTTGCTTTTCCTTCACAGTACTTACTACAGTTGCTATTATGAATTTGTTCATTTAACACCTTGCCCTCCCAAACCAGTCTAAAAACTGTAAGGATTGAAACTATGTTCACCTTTGTTCCCTTAGTGCCTAAATAGTACTTGGCATGTAGCAGATATTTAATAACTATCTGACAAATGAGTGCCATCTGCAATAGATATTAATAAGATGGATGTCTTTTTTTTCTTTTTAATCTAAGTCTATCCAAGCCAATATTTCAATGAATTAAATTTGAGGGAAAGAGGAAATTAGATTGGATATTCCTCTTCAAATAAAAGAATGATAAATCAGCCCAAAGTTACCCATGCACTTATTTCCTGTAAGTCTACATAAATTGCTTGCACACTAATCACATTTCCCCCCAAACAACTGAGAGCAATTCAATAAGCTTTTGCTCAAAGGATCTGGGCCTGCTCATGGATTTTTGTTTTGTAAATAACACAAAACAAATGAATTTATTTCATTTTTACAAGTGAAGAAATAGTCTAGATATTTAAAACTCCTCAAACACAGGAGGGGAAGTAATTTGGGATAAAAAGGAAGGAAAGACACAATATTTTAGTTTGTAAAATTGGTTTATTTACAATTTGGTATTTTAAAATTATATTTGGAATTTTAAGTTTGATATATTTCCTTGGCAGTCATTCTGTTTTCTTAAATATGAAGGCAAAGGGTAGGACACCTGAGTAAGTTTGAATTTAATTACCTGCTGCTACAGTCAGTAAAATTTAACTTTTAATCCCTGAGAATTAGTAGTAAAAATATTCTCACATTCAAATGTAAAAAGTGTATTTTAAGAAAAGAAAGAAAGCTACTGTAATTGCCCTCCCCCCCCCCCATATGGCAATATGAGAAGTCCCTCTTTCACAAATTAACTGAGGGGTGTGTGCACTTGCGTTTTAGTTTTGGGGTATACCTAAAGAGACTAAAATGGTCTAGTCCTGTTTTTCTGTAGTTTCTCCTCTTTTAAAAAATATTCCTGTAAATGGATACACAATTCATTCAAATAAAAGTAATGCCCACTGCTAGCTCAAATTTACTCCCTTTCTAAATGTGTAATGTAGAGAAATTTTCCTTCACTGTCCAAGACCCATATTCTCTATCTGATTGCCATCCGAAGTCCAGTTTTTGCAAAGTCACTTCGGAGCGATTCACTTTAGTTTCCTCCCATATCAACTGAGGATAATTATAGTTCATAGGGATGTATGAGACTGAGCTCACATTCATACAACACCATGGGATCTGCGTGGCTCTCTTAAGGAGCAGCGCTCTGGAACAGGGGATAGTTATAATGCATCCTGCTGCTCCTTATTATAGATGACTAGTTAATACCCCTCAAGTGTCAGCTTTCTTTAGTGGAGTAAATACTAATTCATTCGTTTGCTCATTAAACTTCCTTGAGATGTAAAGGAATGGTAGTTAGGCCCCCCTGCCCTCATATAAAATGTAGCACAGATATAAAGGATGTGACCACAGTGAAACAGTAAGTCAAACCAAATAAACCAAAGAATCTGCAGCAATATGCAATTTCCTTATGTGGGTGCAACACACTAGCAGTCATTTTCCATTTTGGGCAGTGTTAAGTATCACTAATGACAAGTGTTTATTTGTCTAATTGCCCCAAGGAAATGCAGGGCAATTCACTTTTTAAAAACAATGAAACAAAGCCACAAATACCCCTTCTTCAAATGTCTCTTCATGTTCTGTGTCCAAAACAGAACACACAGTCAAGCTAACCTCCCTTTTTCTAAAAGACCAACACTGATGCCAGCTAGAAACATTCTCAAGTGCTAGTTTAAAGGCAATCTTTAAGTTCCAAGAATATTCATTTGTATGTTGTTGATTCCAAAAGGGAAAAGATTACAGACATTCAAACAGAATGTAGTATTAATCAACTTTCTTAAGAGAGCTTTGCAAAAAAGAGACGAGTGGGAACTATTATCTGATCTGAAGGAAGTCAGAGCTGGACAATCTAATTTGCTGTTTTAACATCAACTTTCAATGTTATACCTAATGTGCATTTCTTAAAAATATATTTCTAAGTATATAGGGTTTCCTGGTTGGTGTTTTTTTTACTGGATAAGAACTCTGAGTAGCAAGAGCAGCAGTAATGGAAGTCTATCACATAGACTTTGATGAGACCGCCTGTGGGTTTGGAAATTCCTACAGCATGCTCTCGTTTTAGCAAATCCCACTTCTGCTGCAGGAAGCCACACTAAGTCATTCTTCAGCCATTGCTGGCGGGAGGGGTATAAATAAAAATGTGAGGTAGTTCTTTCCACAAGAAGGAAATATTTGTCTACATAATATCCTTGCAATGTCTGACAAATTACTAGAGCATCTGCTTGCTGTCTATTTGTTAAGTAAACTCTTAGCTTGGCATTAACTGAACTTGACAAATCATGAGCTAGATGCAGTTCACAGGCCTTATTTTTCTGGTCCAGCCACGACAGACAGAGGCACTAAAACCCCCCAAAATGGGAACCATAGAGACCACCAAAAGTATAAGAACTGCAGAAGCATAAGCATGAAAACGCATATGGGGCAGCTGGCAAAAGCATGTAACTTAACCAGAACTGTGTATAGAAAAGAATGAAGACTGGTGGGGATTAATTTATAGACTCTGCTCCCACAGCTTAACTGTCACTTTGAAGGCAAAAAACAACAACAACAGTAACAAAACAACAAGATTTGAAGTTCTAGCAACACAGAGAACATAGCAGAGACTATATGAAGGAAAATTTACATAGTAACATTAGGAATAAAGGAACAGAATATCCTGAGAAAAGTAAGAGTTGCCTATGAAAACTTCAGTCTTTCCTACTTGGAATTTGCACATTTTTATGGAATAAGAAATCAAGTACTGCTGAAAATATTTGCATTTTAAACTCTGTCTAGGCTACTAGCCCGAGAATACCAGAAATAGATCAGGAGTAAAATTATAGTTAGAAAAGGGGAGAAAAAGTAAGGTAGGA